TATATGATGAGCCGCCGTCGCCCAATAGGGGGGGGGCGGACGTGTTTAATGTATATCATATGATGGATCAGAGTGGCCTAAGGGGGGGGGTGTTTAAGATTTGCAGTATTATGAAGCGGAATCGCCCAATGGCGGGGGCGTGTTATGATGCGCCGGAATCGCCCACTGAGGGGGAGTGTTGAACCGGAATCGCCAAATTGGGGGGGGGGGGGGGGGNNNNGGGGGCTTTGATCCATGATGAACCGGATTCGCCCAATGGGAGGCGTGCTTCAGATTTATGATGAACCGGAGACGCCAAATGGGCGGGGGTATTTCAGGTGGCCCGTGTTTCAGATACATGATGAACCTAAACCAGAATCGCCAATTGAGGGGACGGGTTGAAGATATATGATGATATATGATGTACCGCAACCGCGAAATGAGGACGCGTATTAAAGCATACCCTGGTCCGGAATCGCCACATGAGGGGCCGTGTTTAAGATACATGATGTACCGGAATCGCCATACGGGCGGCGAGGGGGGGAGGGGCGTGTTTAAGATATATGATGAACTTCCGATGAACCGCGCCTGTTTCAGATACATGTTGAACCGGCATCGCCAAATGACGGGGGTGTTTAGAGTAGAGATGAACCGGAATCGCCAAATGAGGACGCGTGTCTAAGATATATGATGACCTCATGAGGGGACGTGCGTAAGGTGTATCATGAACCGGAACCGCCAAGTGAGGAGGGCTTATGCCGATCCGGAATCCACGTGCGGGGGCGTGCGTAAGATGCAAGATGATTCGGAATCGCTCCATTGGGCAGGGTCGTGTTTAAGTTATATGATGGACCGGTATCGCCTAACGCGGGTGGGAATCGCCAAATAAGGGGGGGGGGAGTTGAAGATATATGATGAACCAGAATCGCCCAATGAAGGGGCGTGTTTGGGATACCTGATGAGCGGGAATCGTCGAAGGAACTGGGCGGGTTTAAGATATGTGATGTACCGAAATCTCATCCTAAGTTGCCGGATCGGCATCAAAGCCCTGATCTGCCCCAACCCCAACGAAATTTCTGCGGGTCAAACCCTGAACCAAGATTTGAACCGAGCTTAGTGCTATCGCATTACATAGGGGCCACTCTGTCAATACCAGACTTTACCAGACCATACATACTATTTAATAGGGAAAGGAGCATAGGAGCATACACAAGGAAAGCGAAAAAATACAGAACTAATCTGGTGACCCTGGGGCAGGAGCCCGGGATGCATCTTCGCTTTGAGGCTCGGGACTTCGAACTTCGGAGCACTTCGGCAATTTCTGTTCGGCTCAGAGGATGATGAGGACGCCATCAAGACTCTGCTGAGCTACCATCCCGATGCAGACAGGCCACGTGGTGACAACGCGTCACCAGTAGCCTGGCACCGATGCACCCAGCAATTCCTGACAGGCTGCTGGAAGATCTGGTGGCAATCAAGGTGGATTGCTCCCCGGTGGATGATGATACCAGGCGTGCCACAGTGCCACAAGCCACACGAACAGACGCTGAGCCAATGTGGCCGCAGGTGCCTTTGGGTGATAAAATTCGACGGGTACGAGGCGCATCGGGTCGGAGGTCAACACGGTTGCTAGATTCACCCTCATGCGGGGGCGCTTTCAGAAGAGGTTTAATAAGTAGGGTTTCTTCGGCATGCCCACCTATAATAGTCGTTGCTTTCCTGACTGAGTACAGGTTGGGTTTTTCAAGTGCCTACGCCCAGCGACTACAGATACTTGTGTACTAAGCCTCTGTACCCGTTCCAGATAATTTGAGAGCAATGACTTACCGACGTTTCGGAAAGTTTAGACAGGGACTGGCACCTTCGTGGCAGTCGAGATTGGCTTGAGGGACCAAGTGAAACTGTGCTGGTGCTTGGCAGAGGGCTGACGGTAGTGATCGGATTGGCTCAGGAGGATGTCAGCCTCCGGGAGTGTCTCGAAGGTGCGGCTGACAGCACGGGCCCCCACCCCGTGCCGCCCTGACCCTCGGCCTTCGGCAGGCCTGGAGCGGGCCCTTAGCCTCGGCGCCCAGAAGGGAGGCCAGGCGGTTCTAGGCGTAAGCGATTTTGTGTGGCCTTCGATTTTGGAAGGATTTCCAAAGCGCTTCGTGCCACGATTGGGGCCTGCCCGCCGGCGCGAAGATTTCAGGTGCTCCCCTCCCTGGAAGTGCCTGAATGAAAGCTTCAACCTAGAGAGATTGGAGTTTGGGCTTTCTGCAGTCGCGGGCTATCAGTCTGCATTGCGTCATCGGTGAGGTTTTCGGGATTGCCATGAAAAGGAGGAAGCTGAGGAAGACCAGTGACCGTTTGCGAAACTTCGAGTCGTGCTGCCAGGCCTTCCCGCAAAGGTCCAAGCAAGACATGAGCCATCTTGAGTTGAAGCGCTGCTTCACACATCGTTGCACCCAGCACCTCATCGGTGATCGACGGTGCTGGCGACCAAGGGGTCAGCAGGTTAGTGCGTCCTCGTCCCGAGAAGTGCGGATATCAAGGCCCATGAATGAACCACAAGGCGGAAAAAACGCTAGAACAGAAAAAGACCGCAGACTCAGGTCTGACTGTAGAACAGAGGCAAGATACTTGAACTCCAGATGTGGTGGCACTTTCAAAGAGGGACCTCGGCATTTGGAGGATGTCTCTTTCAGTTAGCCCGGGCCCTCGTTGCTGCGTGCGGCAGCCTAGCAGCGCCTTTAGCATCCTTCAGCCTCAGCGCTTGCGTTTGGCTGACTGGTCAACACAGTGTCGGTGTTGGAGATAATATGAAATGCTGAAGCTAAGCTTCGTGCTGGAGGCGCCTGTGTAGAAATGCCGCATCGTATCGAGAAGGAGCTTTGTCTCTCCAAGCCGTGAGGAAAAGCTGGGGACTGCTTCGGCCAAGCACGGCCAGTTGAATGCCAACCCTAGAAGGGGGGGGGTCACAAGACGACCCTCGCATGCGTGCACACGTCAAAGCTGCTGTGCTGCAATGTGCTGCACACCATGTGTGGTTATGGCAAAAAATCTGACGACAGTTACGGCACCATCGTGCTGCCTGCAGGACCAAGGAACCTTCAAAATCCTCATGAGTGACACGATGAGCTATCGCTACGTGCCGCGACCAAGCAGCATTAATTCCTCTCAGCTCTTGATGGGCTTCGCATGGCTTCGCTCTGTCGCCTTGGATCGAAGGCTAAACGACTCGAGCCTCGCTCCTCTCGGCCAGCACATACGTGAGTTGCCTCCCGGCTGGGAGGCCGGTGCCGTCTGCCGTGGCTGTGGCTGTGCATGGTGGTCTCGCGAGGTCCGCGGCGGGACGCCGCCGCAGTTGGCGCCCAAAGGCTACCGCCTCGGCCGAGCCTACGCGACTCTCGAGGCGCTGGCTTTGGCCGGACATTTCAAGACTTTCTCCAGGTGGCGCGCTGACTCCTATCTAGTACATCTAATACGATCGTGTCTAAAACATGTCGTCTGTCGATCTGGCTGTTCATGTGTTTAGTTTAATCCTGTCCGCATGTCTACCTATCCGTCCCGCCATGTATCTGTCTATAAATCTGTCTATCAGCGACAGCTTGGCCTTTCGGTCGGGTTTGCTCATCATGTGTCTACTGGGCCTATATTTATCTAGAACCTAGCAGTCAAAGGGCGTAGGCATAGGTTTCATCGGGACTTGAAGCAGGATGCGTGGGCTGCGCACCTGGAGCAGCAGTTTCACAAAGTGCAACAGGGCACGAGACCCAGCAGGCGGGAAGCATTTTCTCAGTTTGTTCCTTGCTTGTCCAGCTGAGTGCTTTCAGCAGTTAACTGGGTGTGAGGCTGCGTCGTGCATCTAGAAATCCGACTGGGTCTGGCCAGCTGTCTTTTAAGCTCCGAGGTCAGCATGTCCTATTCACGGCAAAGCTAGCGCATCCGACGGGCCCCCTTCAACGGCGAGTTCAACAAACATAATGAGTGACGCTCCGCCCGAACTGTTTGGAGGCCGGAGGCTTCACCGACACAGCTCAAAGGCCAGACGACTTGCCGTTTGGGGAATGCTGATCTGCTTCAGAACTTCCGGCGGTCTTCACAGGCAGCCCTGCTTCCTCTCCACAGCCGGTGGCCATCGCGTGGAGCCAGGAAAGATGTGCGCAATTATTGACAGTCATGCTGCTTGAGGGTATCTGCAGCCAGGTCCAAGTCGACAGATGGGCAGTCTTAGTCCTACTTGCAGTCCCTAGCTCGTAACCCCGCTGACTTCCAAAGCCACAGTGAGTTGAGCCTTCTCCATGCTGTCGCAGTAGCTAGGTAGCTTATGAGAGTGCCTTGCCAAGCTATGCGTTGCAATTGTCGGAGCACGGCTCCTTGGCTTGCTTTGCTTGCTCTGCTTGCTGGTCAGACTTGGAGGACTTTTGCTTTCCTCTCCCTGCATGGCACACCGAGAGCGAGAGCCAGCCGAGCAGGCCGAGCCTCAAAGACGGATGTTTCTGCCCGAGCACCCGGCGGTGTCCTTCCAAACGGCGAGCTAAGAGAAGCCTATGAGCCCGACACGCACCTCGATGCAAGCGAAGGTCGAGTTGAGATTTTTCCTTCGCCAATCTATCGGGCTAAACTCCGGCCAAGCGACGAGGAGGTTCGCACGTTAAACGACGAGATAGCACTGAACTTCCGGCGGCTGATGGTGAGGGACGAGAAGGGTATCGAGTACTCGAAGACGCACTATGCAGGAGGCTACACGTCGTATTTTAGTCTCCCTGCACTTCAAAAGTGGGTACCTCCAATCGGAACTCTCGAGGAGTGGCTGAGGCCCCACATTCAAGAGTTCAGGCAGCATGCCATGCTTCAAGACGGACCAGAGCTTTTCATGACAGATTGCTGGGCAAATGTCATGGGTGACGGGACAGAGCACATGTTCCATCAGCATAAGAAGTCCACCATAAGCGGTACCTACTACGTTCAGACTCCTAGCGGCTGCTCGGGTCTGCTGTTCGAAGATCCGCGCTTAGACCGGACAGTTGCGAAGCAATCGCGTCGAGTGGTCGAGTTTCCGGCCATGGCCGGCTTCGTGGTGCTCTTTGAAAGCTGGCAAAGGCACAAAGTCCCGCCCAACACCGGAAAGGACGGTCAAGAGCGCAACTTGCCTGTCACTTTGAAGACATGAGCCTTTCGGGTGCATCGGCTGGATCCTTCGAAAGCCAGACTAGTGGTGCTGAAAGGTGTCGTGGGTGTTTCCATTAAGGCTGAATTGCGAAGTCCCTGCATTCCTTCATAGCAACCGACAACGCCTTTCACAGTCGAATTGCACACTAAAGCTCCGACGACAGAGACAATGAAGCAAGCCATCGCACATAGGTGATGCAGCAGACCAATTCAGAAAGTTTGCTTAGCAGCGGACGTTTGCAATCCATATCAAGCGAAAGCTAAGCTGGAGCCACTCAATAGATACCGAGCCCGGAGCCCTAAAAGGGATGTGCCGAAAACGCGTTGCAACGAAGAGGCAGCTTGATCATGTGTGATGTGCACCCCTGGTCTTCGCCGGGCCTGAGGCATCAGCGTCAGCTTCAACTATCACTGGCGGTATGAGGATCCCACGAAGATTCCGCTGGAGTAACGCAAGAAGCACTGGAAAAAGCTGCTATGTCTTGCGTGCGTTCGGTGGACTTAATTATGTGCTATCATGGACTCGCGACATCTAAGTGCTTCCGGTGTTAGCAGGCGAATTGACAGAGTAACGAGACGGCAGGAAGGCGGTACTTCGTTTGCGGTGGAACAAATCATGCAAGGAACGGTGTCAAGCCATCGGGCTGCTCATGATTCAGTAGAGTTGCATTGACTGAGTGATTTGGCTGTACTGCTCAGCAGATGCCATTCAGCTCAGGTGAAGCCAGCGAGCAACGGTGTTTTCTTCCAGGCTACAATACAAGAGCCAATAGAGCTGTAAGACTAAGTCTGAATCCAGGTCGCATGTTTTTCCAGTTCTACAGTCACTCCGCTCGCTATAAAAGTATAGACGCCAAAAGACTGCCCTTGTGATGGTGTTCGTGATCGGGTTCCGCAACGGGCGTAAAGCTGTATGTATGTGGGAATCCAATTAAAACTGAATGCGTGGCGCACGGCGATAGAGCCCGAGCGCTCACATGTATTTCGTTGGCAGGTACAGCCGGAGTTGATGACAGTTGATGCCGCGGTCTTGGCATTCACGAGGACAGTGACGTCTAAGCCTCGCCCGTGTGTGGAGTCCCGTGCTTGTGCACCGAGTGCAGACATGTGATATATGTCCGTACACGTGTAGACGTTGAAGACAGAATGTGTTCTGCTTATAGGCCCAGGGGTCTTAGTAAGTAGGTTCTAAGTTAGAAGTAGAGCTATAAGTACCCTAAATGGAGTTACCCCCGCTATAAAACCACTTATAACCGACTTGCTAAGTCGCCTGAGCCTCCAAGTATGGGAAACTTCGTTTCGATTGCCCAGGTCACCTTGCTGGAGCGGGAGGCCCTGATCGCCAGGCAGCTTTGCGCCCGTTTCTCACAGCTCGCCATGGGCACGTGCGGCACGTACTTCTTCGCAGCCCACTTCTGAAGCACCTGAGCGGATGCCTTGCTTGCATGCCGCATCTCAACACCTCAAAGTCTGAGAATCATTGGGCCTTCGTAATGTCGCTTACCAGGCTGCGGGAGGCTGAAGCGCGCAATGAGGCCTGGCCTCGCTGAGCTCGAAACAGCTCCATGGACCGGTGTAGAAGGCATCCGGGCACCTCCACGCCCGTTGGCATGGAGCTTCCCAGACCAAGACGGCATATAAGCACCGCTAGAAAGCTTTCAGCAGACAAGAACATCTCCTTCCGACGAGTCTCACTCTAACGTGCAGTGGAGTTCTAGTCAGTTCCCTTGGACTTAGGCACCCATGGCCGGCACATTGACAAAGAACCCCCAGAGCATAAAGCTTCGGACACGGTGCTCTTTCAAGTGCATGCCGAATCGGTCAGCAGAGCCGGGTCGCAATGCCGCAACAAACCTACAACAAAGACTTTGGGAAACATCGCCAGCGGCAGTCGTGAGTCGTGAGCTACATACCACTTGTCAGGCGATCCTTTCGCGGCATCGAAGCTGGAAGCTCTCGTTGGTGTCGCTACTGTCGTGCCCACTACAACACAACATGTCGCTTCACCTTAGGCGGAGCTGCAGGGTTCCCCGCGTAGCCTTACGTTGAAAACAAGTAAGAGCAGGGGCTTTCCTCATGCGCGAAGAGTGACAGACCATGCTAGTGTTGGTACCCTGGTACAAGCTCAGCCAAGCCAAGTGGTAGTACTTTTGCAGCACTAGGAGTACTAGTAGCAGCATCAGCAGCAGTAGTAGCAGTAGCAATAGCAGCAGCAGCAGCAGCAGCAGCAGGAGCAGCAGTAGTAATGCAGTGGTTGTCGTCGTGGCAGTCATAGTCGTGGCCTGCATCAGGTTGTTCGTCAGTACTACTGTATGGTACA